CGGCAAAGGGGCCGTTCCTATGCACCTCTTTGAAGAGCGGCAGGTAGCTGGGCATAGGCTAGCCCCTCTTCAAAAAATCCTCGGCCTCCGGCAAAAACGCGGGGTTCTCGGCGAGGGCCGTCACCAGTCGGCGCACGTACTCGACGATACGCCGGCCGCGGAACGTCTCGTGAGCGGACCGCAGATCCTCCCGTCGGCGAATCAGATCCCGCACAACGTGCGGCCTCGTCAGGACGTGAACGATCAGGTCGCCAGTGTCTTCCGTGAGGATCGCCCGCTCCACGCCCGTCACGAGTCGCCTGCCCTAAAGTGATACGAATCGATCGGTGCACGGAACGTGACGTGACGACGTCCTTACCTGCTGGTACGCACGATCGCGCCTCCTCCATCTGGCGGCGCGCCGCTCCAGGAGCGTCTTTTAATGTTCGTACCTCGACTTTCCATGTATTTAATTAATAACAGTATTTTACATGCTGCCTGGTCGCAGGTTGAACATCTTCTTACGTCTAACTTAATTCTACATTCTCTAACCTACTTTACACACATACTTTCCTAGGACGCAATCATTCTGTCAGAATTCTTACCCAATAGAATAGTACTTAAATTAGGTTGCAATATATACAGTGTGATTACCTTAACTTATACCTTACAGTCTGCATTTTGTACTCGCGCACCTCGAAGGGCAGGTCGATGAATCGACGCTCTCTGAAGCCCATGGAGTACGGGCCCGTGTCAGTGTACCACCCCAGATGCAGGCTCATTAGCCTGTGGAGGGTCAGCTTCCTTGTCTCCACCCTGTAATGCCGGAGGCGGGCCACGTATTCGTAACGCCAGCGTCTGACGTAACGATAGCGCCGGGCGTGTAGGGCGTTGTGCCTTAGCCGCATCGTGAATTCCTTTTTAAATTTGAAGTATATGTTCCTATCGGCTTTTTTCTTTCGGGGGTCTTTTTCTTAACGGCCTCCTTCGCCCTCTTCCCTCTCGCCATGATTTTCGCGCCGTAAGAAACGAGGGGGTACCTATCGAGGACACTATAATCACCGGGCCTATGGAGGGAATAAAAAATGTCCTACTCGGCGATCTTTTTGGGAGGGAATAATACTGCCGTATTCGGCAATTTTTTTTGGAGGGAATGAAAGGCAAGGCGGTGGTGGTGGTCACCTCCGGTGCTCACTCTAAGAGTGTCATTACACAGCGGTTTGTGCCGACGAGTCGGCATTTATCAAATCATGCAAAACACACACGGCGGCGGTCGTTGCTAGACCGTCTCGGCACGTAGTCCAGACCAAGAAACGCGTGGCGTTTGATTGCCGAAGCGGCGCTTATTTAGATTTAGGTTTATATAGGTACTGGACACACACATCGGTTTTCGTCCGCGTTTTTCACAAACAGCGTACAGATTTTGCAGTATTTGTCTTCATCTTCTCGTACTTCAGCAAATAGGGTATAGAAATGTCCTTTGGTTAGGCGATCATTTACAATTGGATGCACCCACATTCGTCTATTCTTCTTCATTCTTTTTTTCCAACGCAAATACAGCAGCCCAAAAGCACTAGATATTCTAAATCGTTGTCCATGTTATAATCAGGCAGACTTGGTTCTGTCGCAATGTTGAATTGTACGTTTCACAGCCGCCCATCGGCCGAGTGTGCAAAAACCGCGGTGTGTGTCATCGTCGAGCGGCGGCCGACTCGACCGAGGAGTCGGCACAAACCGCTGTGTGTGTCATTACTCTAATAACAAGACAACAGCCCCTCCGTGTGCCATAAATTTTATTGAATCTCCGTGTACAGCACGTATCTCGGCGTAGGTTGACAAATTCATATATTACATTTTAGCACATGCACACTTCACGTTCAAGCGCCTTCCCGACGAGGTGCGGAGGTTAGAGGCGATCTCCTGGCGGCAACCTCAACGCCGGGGGCGGTCGACGGCCGCCGCGCTGCAAGACGGCAGAGAGCTACGGAAATTATATTAAACGATGGGGTACGAGTCGGCGCGGTCCTCGGAGACAATGAGGGGCGTGCCGGAAAAGATACCCTTCCGGGCGCCGTACGATTGCGACGACCTCCTATGTGTATCGCCGTCGCATCACGTTCCGGACGGACCTGCTGGCGAAACGTTTTCGGCGGGTGGGTTGTGCGCCGTGCTCCGCTCGCTGGGATTCCCGGGGTCCGGCCGATCCTTAAAGAACCGGCAAACCGACGTCGTCGGGGACCTATTCAGGAGATACGAATAAGGTCTGCAATGCGATGGTGCGTCGAGTACCTATAGCGAGTTTTGATTTATGAGATATAACGCGCAAGCAGCAAAATGCAAGGCACTACAAAAATACCATGTGCTTCATAAATAAAACACACGCCGCTGACCGGCCAGCTAGTTCTGTTGACCAAATAGCAAACAGCGGAGAGAGAAAGACTAATGTACAGGGTTGTGGGTAACAGAATTAACTCAATTGGTAATTGGCACTTATAACTCCTCGATCCAGCCTAGGTCGTCTGTACTTACTTTTGGTCGCTTCAATTAAAATCTCTTGGGCGCCACCTAATTCCAAGTTAAGTTTCGCTTGCCACTACCGGAACTAGGAAAGGTAGCTTTAGCTTTAAAGTAGGCAACTGATAACCCACAAAAATAAGTGTTTATTGGGTGCAATTGCACCTGCATACGTAACACCAACACAAAAGTTATGTTCCCCAAATGGGAATCAAAAATCAATAAAGTATAATAAACACGTTATGTAAAAAAAACTAAACAACCCCAAGTATAAGTGTTGAAATAATTATCCCAAATTCCAAGGTTTACATACAATTCCCCCAATGAAATATTACATAAATTTAGTAGCTGAAACTAGTTCACACCAAAAATCCTGAAAGTAGGTATAGAACACCCACTACCGTTGCACAGTGATTGCGTTTAATGGGTTAAATACAGTGGATTGAATACCTTGATTGGTAGCTTGTAGGGTATCGAAGTTTAAATCATAGTATAGAGCTCTGTACTTCACAGGTGATTTACTTCACATGAGTAAATGCAGTTAATTAAAGCAAATTATTCCCTTTCAATTTTAAGCGTACTAATTAAGAGTAATATGGGTGGCTCTAGTGTTCGGCCAGTTAACATTTACCATATAAGTATGGGTTAAATGAAATGCAAATACACAAAGGCAATAGTTTAAACAATAATAAGATATCACCACTACGATAGGTAGGTCTCTGGTTCCTAAGATTCCTGGTGTACGTGTAAACGGCTAACGGTTTTCTATGTACCGCAACAGGTGTCAAAAGGGTTGGTGTCCGCAGTATCTGTTTGGCTGCGCCTTAGAGATAGTAACGTTTCCAATGGCAGATTTTACTGTACACGGAACTCCTGCATGTTGTCGTTTAACGTAGATGTGTTTCGCTTAGAGAGTAAGTAGAAGCTACGGAATCGTTGGACTTTGACTCCTTACAAGGACTCTAAAATATAATGTAATTATGGCCACGGTTAACCAAATATAATGCGCTAACCTCTTAAAGCAGAGAGTACACAAAAAAAAGAACTTCGTTAAAGTAAGGTAGCCTTCTTATACCATAAATACGATGGATTCCCCCTAGAAATAGAAAGAAGGTAAAGTGGATTCGATCACACGGAGTATAACTTACGATTAAGGTGGCTTGAAATTCCTCCAGTACAAAAAAAAATTCCTTACGGAAGTTTGTCCCCAGGCATTAAAACGAAACTGCTTGGTGCAAACATTAATTTGGGTTAACTTGGTTAAAAGATGCTTTCGCCAGGGTGTTCGATCCAACCACTGGAAGATATAACAAGCACCCCCAACTCGGGATCACAAATCGACCGTCTCTCTAAAGCAGGTGGCGAGAAAAGAAGACGCTAACTTTCTTGTTTCCGGTCACGATGCAACCGACGACGAATAATTCCAACCAACCACGAGAGCCGATGGATATGTCAATACCATAAATGGTAATATCTAATGCTTATCGATAAAGGAAACGAATTTAAAACCAATGACAGCAAGGTATCGAATTACAGTAAACCACAGAATACGGCCTTCTCAGAATAAAAACAGCAATGTTACAAATTTGTATGGTATTTTGGCGAACCCTGGTGGGTGTACTGTGAACTAAAGCATCAAAATCAGAGTAGCGCCATCTGGTGACCAGCTTCTAAAGTCATGTAGTAATTTCCCCAATTCGATCTAAATCATAAATATCGATAAAGAATACACAGTTGTTGAATTAAAGTGTATTTAGATACAATCACATTACATTATTTAACACAGAGAACTTAAATTACATGTTTACAAATTACATATAAAACTCAGAAGTGAGTGGAACTTACGCTTTGTAGATGTTAACACTTTGCAGAAAGATCCTTACATAACGATTTGTCGTACGAAATATTTGGTTTTAATTGCTGTTTGAACTACATATTTTTGTTAAAAAATATCTTTAGAACTAAATTTTTTGTTCCAAGAGGTAATAAAACCGTTTCAGCAAATTGTCACACAAGTTTTTGACAACAAATGTTTACTTGATCCTGGTGCTTGTCACTTGAGAAGCGAGGGTGGAAGTTGTTGAATTATCTAAAACGTATTTTTTATTCATTGTCTAAAAGGAATTACAATATAAGTATCTACGTCTATATAAATATAAAACTCAAGTCTACACCCTTTTGTGCCTATACCGTTGGTAATTTATAAATTCCATACCTTGCATAAATAGGAGAGAAATAACAGTACATTTCAACCCTTTTCGCGTTTCAAGCACAATACAATCTGTTTCAAAATGTGGAAACGATGCCTTTTTGATATTTTACCGTTACAATTCCGGTCACATAACTTGTTCCTATTTTAAATCTTTCAAAAGTCAAAATTGACATGTGTAAAACCATGTGTACGTATAAAATCGACGGTAAAAATATTTCCTGTAACGAGCAAAATTACAGGTTTCTCAAAAAAATAGTTGAGTCTGCGATAAATAGTTCTCAGTACAACCACGGGATACGCTGTAATCAGTGACAATTTAGCGCCATTTATGTTTCTGTTCTGTGAAGGTCTTATTCTGTGCAGTAAACTGACGTCATTGATCGGTAGATCGAGAAACTAAAACGGGCAGGCAACACAAAAATATAAAAGTAACTAGAGAATTAACATATTGGTTGCACTCAACGATGCGCGAACATGTAATACAGGGTAATGGAAATAGAAATATGACTACAAAGGTTAATACTATTTTAAACTGTTACAGAGAACTTACAGGTTTTCCTTAATCCTTATTAATTCCCTCGTCGGATCGGTGGTTGACGTAACCTCGGGTCGGGGCTCGGTTGACCGGTATGGGACGTTTCGCCGTCGCCACTTCGCCGCCGCCATTTGACCGTCGCCACTTCGCCGTGGCTATTTCGCCTTCGCCATTTCGCCGTATGCCATCCCGCCGTCGCCGTTTCGCCATTGACCATTTCGCCGTCAGTCCAAGATATATTGTTATAAAAAAAAGAACATACAACTTCGATGAATCTGATACAATTCCTATGTTGATACTATGTGTGTTAGCTCTTGTAAAGGTAATCACATTATTAATTACATTCTAGGGTTTAATGAGCACGAGCAAGAGTGCGAAGCATAATATTTCCACACATAAAAATTTTTTAGAAATAGAAATGCCGCGATGTCAGTTGTCACCTCAGATCTCATCTACGTTTTGACAAAATAACGTATAAAAATACTCAAGTCAACCTATCCATACATTTTACTCGGTACAGATTAAAGTTCCGTTTTTCTCACTCAAAGTAGAAAGTAAAGCATGCTATTTATTCAATGAAGAAAATAACTGCAGTCATTTAAGCAGTTAATTAGTCATTAATGATGTACTTCTCTAATTACACTCCCGAATCTTTTGTATTATTGACCCAAGTTAGCAATCCTTTTTTGCATTAATCTTGTAGGATCGTTAAAATCGGATTTAGATAATTAGGGGGGGTAGAGTAGACTATGTAATTATTTTGGAATATTTTAGTTGATTTGTGCCTTTTGTACAATACACAATTATGAATTCAGAAATAGTTAGTATCAGAGGCAAAGAAAAATTTGTTTGTGATGGTTTTATATATATGTTAGGCGCAAAGACCGAAAACGGCCATTGAGCGAAAAAAACCGCCACAACGCGTTTTGGGTAATGCCAATTGACCACGTAGCGTTCATTAGGTTTTTTTCGCTTTGTGGGCGTTTCAAAATAACCACTACGCGTTCTGAACAATCTAACTGTACCATTACGAGAATTCGCGTTGTGGCTGTTAACTGTTTTCAACCACAACGTCCACATCACGTTCTAAAAAATAGTAAATATTCAGAACCCATTGTGGGAAATCGTCGGGAAGCACACAGGGGTTTGTCAGCTGCAATTGCAAGCGATGCTGCAGCGACAAAAAGTGCAAGTGCAAATCCAAAGACGTGAAATGTAACTCAAAATGCCACTCCAACAGCTCTTGCAAAAATAAATAAAGAACACTTACGCAAGGAAGAGATAGTATCAAAAAATCGTATGTAGCTCTCTGTAAGTTGTGGTTCCTAGGCTAATAAAGTTTCCTCCCGTTTCACAAAAACTACCCAGAATGTTTAATAATCACGTCGTAGCTATTGGAAAAACTAGTCACAATGGGTTCTACATATTTGGTATTTTTAGAACGCGTTGTGGTTGAAAACAGTTAAGAGCCGCAACACGAATTCGCGTAATGGTAGAGTTAGATTATTCAGAACGCGAGGTGGCTGTTTTTAAACGCCCACAAACCGAAAAAAACGTCAAGAACGCTTCGTGGTCAAGTGAAATCACCCAAAACGCGTTGTGGCCGTTTTTTTCGCTCAATGGCCGTTTTCGGTCTTTGCGCCTAACATATATATTCGATTCTATTTCAAAAAGTGACGAAAATGTTAAATTTTGGAGGTGTGAGGAGCGTGGTCGTTGTAAGGCCAGAATTCATACACGTGATGAGACGGTGGTGAAGACGTTAAATATCCATTCACACGACTCTTCGGCCACAAAAGTTGAAGTAGGAAAAACGATTACTAGAATAAAAAAACGTGCTGTTGAGACAATGGAACAAACAAGTCAGGTATCTTTTCGTGATTTTTTTTACTTGTATGCATGGTGCTTTTCAACATAAGGAATTCTTATGCCAAATTTACAATGAAAGATTTACAATAAGGTTTTTCTAAATTAGAATTTAACTCGCTTGCCTATCAATCTATTTTCTTTTTTTGGAATATCAAAAAATAAGTTTTTTAAATATACCTGTATTGCCTTTAGATATTGAAAAACTGTAATTGATAATGCCTTCCCTTATTCTCAAATTCATTAAAACGTCAGAATAACAATAATTCATTTATCAGTATGCTGTAATACCTTCTTTATTCAATAAAATCAAAATTATTGCAGGTACTTAATGCGTGTACATCTAATATTTCCCAAGCATCGCTGCCAAATAATTATGCTCTCAAGAAAATGGTGCGAAGGCAGCGAAACGAATTAAAAAGAGCACCTCCCAATCCGCAGAGTGTCGAAGAATTAATTATACCAGACGAGTACACAATATACCACGCAGAGCCCGGCAGAAATGAAAACTTTTTACTGTTCCAAGAAACCAAAGATTTATTAATCTTTGGCCGTGAAAGTTGGCTGGCTCATTTATCTTCTAAAACATGGTTTGTTGACGGAACGTTTAAAATTGCACCTCCACTTTACGCGCAGGTGTACGTGTTGATGGTAAAAAAACATAATGGTGTGCACCCTGTACTATACACACTCCTCCCCAATAAGTTAAGGGCTACTTATGTTCGCTTTTTTAACATAATTAAAAATATGCAACAGAATGCGAATCCAGACAGCATATTTTGCGATTACGAATCAGCTGCATTGTTAGCAATGAGGGAATGTTTTCCAAATGTATCTGTAAAGGGTTGCTTTTTCCACCTTGCGAAGAACATGAGAAAAAAATTGGCAGACTTGAATTTAATTCAAACTTACAACACCGACGCAGAATTTGCATTAAAGGCGAAAATGGTGATCGCTATTTCTTTTGTACCGCTTGACCACCTGGACGAAGCGTTAGATAGCCTTGCTGATGTCTTGCCTCCAGAATTGCACCCTCTACTTAATTGGTTTGAGGATAACTATGTTGGAAGGCTTAACAGAAGGGGAAATGGTCGCCGGGCTCCCATATTTGAATCTTCAATATGGAACTTGTACGAACGCACACTACATGAAGAAGATCGTACAAACAATCACTCAGAAGCTGCACATCGGAGATTGCAGACTGAATTAGGTAAGCAGCATGATATGTTCTTGGTTAATTTTATTAAAAATCTGTTACGTATAGGTGTTCTACATCCTACCTTGTGGAAATTTATAGACGCTTTGCGCGCGGTGCAGCATGGCCGAGATATTTATTATGAATCACTGGTAGCGGGAAACAATCCACCTAAAAAACTTAGAAGGTATAGAGACGCCGATCGTAGAATTTTACAAATTGTACGAAACTTTGCTCAGTACGAAGCTATTGAAGAATATTTACGGGGCATCGCCCATAATTACCAAATGGGGCAATAATAATGTAATATTATATTAATAATGTAACTGTAATTGCACTTGCATACTTTATGAATGGCATACTGTTTATTAGAATAAAGTTATTTTCACATTTATACAGTACGACTTTGATTCAAATTACTTCATGGCACGATTTGTATGTCTAAGACGCACTGTAAGTATAAATAATTATCATAATTAAATGTAAACATAATTCATTCATATACTGAAAGAGTGATCATAACTTAATGATAATGCATTTATATAATAACGCGTTAATATTGGAGAATCGGCAAATGTTAACGGCGAAATGGCCTATGGCGAAATGGCCACGGCAGGATGGAGACGGCGAATTGGCGGCGACGGCGAAATGGCGGCGGCGAAACGGCGGCGGCGAAGTGGCGACGGCGAAACGGCGACGGCGAGATGTCCTAGACCGTCGGTTGACACCATCATCATAAATACAAGATCACATAATATGCGGTTGACGACGTGTGAGTGTGTGTGTTTAGGTAAGCGACATCCGCAAGGTGGCAAATGTACCGGCCCGGCCGTAACATTTACGGAATGCGGCTCCACTCCCGCCCTCGTCCTTCGAGAGCACCATCGTCGTCGTTCCCGAGGCACCTTAGTTTAAAAAGTAAACAAAATTAGTAACTGGACGATTTTTGGCGAGCCGCCGGTATGTGATAGGGTAAGTATCTTCTGTTCTCCTTCCGCCGCTCGCTTCGCCCGGAGTAGCGATGAAAGACTTACGTGACGCGAAAACGGTAAAATCGCTATTGCGCTCCTCCTCTCCGGCGCACTGTGGTCAAAGCTGTACAAAAACCCCCAAAATTAATGTCTTCGGATTCACTTCGTTCTATTATTTATTGTTACTCAGAAACTTATTGAATCTAGCCCCGTATATAGTTTTTAAAATCAACATTATTATCAGTGAATAAATGTCATTTTACCAACCAACTAATTTGCAAGATAACATTGGTGTTCAAACACCTATTATGGAAATATCGTATAAAAGTATCTTTAAACAAAATAAATTAAGTGTGTTACGGCCACACTTCCTAAAGGCGTAGCGCATACCGATACGCATACGCCATCCCACGCCAATGCACCCCAACTACCTTTAGCCACAGGTGCACGCGCACCTGTACCACCCTTAACCACTGACGCCCCCGCACGCGTCACCAGAAGCGGCCGACAGATGCCGCAAAGGGAAACTCCCTCACGCAAGATCGCAACACAAACCATTTAAGAGCCGTTGAGATTCCTCTCAACAGCACCGAGGCGCGTAGCGCAGTGGTTGCTATTCGGGAGGTCGTGGGTTCGAATCCCGCTACCGACTGCTCTGTCTGGGGTTTTGTCAGGGGGTTTTCCTCATAGACATACGTAGCTTCGCATAATACTAGCATTATGTTGAAATCTACGAGGCGAATGCTGGAGCAGTACTCTCTCCCTCAGCACCCTAACTCCGTTCCTTCCGTTCCCATCCCTAACTTTACCTATCCTTACATTCCCGTTCTTTGGCTGAAGAGGCTCTGGCAAGCCTGAGCAGCCCGCTTCCGGCGTCCCTGTAGTCAGGGATGTCGGAGGAATGAAACACGACGACCTTTTCCTCTCAACGGCAAGAAGAGCAACGAGCTTGCTAGGTGGGACAAGTTCTCAACCAAGCCTCGGGTCTTCAGCCTTGTATCAGCCACGGCGACGAGTAGTGCATTTTCCCGTAAGATCGGTCTCGTTGCTTAGCGTGAAAAGTAGGACGGACTGCTCTCTTTCGTCGCGGTATCGTGAAACTCGTGCCCAAGGACCTCACTTTTGTGTTGTTGTTAGATAAGTGTTAGTGTTAGCGTGTATATATTGTACAGTAGTGATAAGTAAATAAAGTCAGTTTCTATCTGTAAATAGTACTGCGACGCTTGTGCCAACCAGCATTCATAACCCCCCTAACAACTTGCGCCCAACCAGTGGTGCACGAAAAAAAAGACATCACGACGCCGCCTACCACAAGAAGCACCACCAGGAAGATGGAGGGAGCGAACGCCACCCAACTCGTCATGACGGCCGACATGCTGAAGGAGCTGATCCAGTCTCTAAGCACACCCCGACCACCAAGCACCGGCGGATCCTTTGCGAAGTGTACCGCCAGGTTCGACGGGAAAGGCGACGTGCAAGCTTTTATGGATAACATCACGACGTACAAGGACTGCACGGCGATTTCCGAAGAGAACGCCCTAACAGGTATGTCAATGTTGTTAGACAAGGACGCCGCGACCTGGTGGCAAGGGGTAAAGCGCACCGTCACATCGCGGAACGATGCCACCGCCCTTCTGTTGAAGACCTTCGAGCCGCAGAAACCACCCCACAATCTACTTCGCGAGCTATTTGAGACACCCCAGACAGCACCAGATATTCTTGGAATATTCAAGTATTATATCCCAAGTGCACGCCAAATACCTGAATATATACTCAGATCTGGTATTTGGCGTGCACGAGGGATATACGGGATGACTATTGCCCGACAAAAATTTTGCAAGATAAGAAGAATATAATGTTTGTTTCGATCCTTTCAAAGACATGGTTTTTCAAAAAGCATCATGAAACCGAAAATAAGCATGGGTTCAGTTACAAATTGCCATTTTACAAATTGCAATTTTCGTTAATACAATTTGGAATTATTTATGTAAGTTTCATTTTAGGTATTTACACATAAGCAATACCCGCGGGTATTGCACAAGTGCATGAATACTCGAGGATATTTGTCTGTTGCTAGGCGATTTCTGTAATATGCATTAATATGATTGGCTGAAATTTTCTGAGGGCAATAGTCCAAGAATATTAATGAAGGTATATTTGAACATGCTAAGAATATTCTGGGAATATAAGAATGGGAATATCTCAAATATTCCTAGAATATACATAAAGGAATATTCTCCGTTTATTCTGAATATTATAAGAACATGCAGAGTATATACCATTTCAGATATACTTAGAATAAGCGTAAGGAAACATTCTCTGCATATTTGGAATCTTCTTAGAATGTGATTAGAATGTTCTATTTAAGATATTCCTAGAATAAACTTAAAGAATGTTCTCAGTTTGTTCTGAATATTGTTAGAATATGCAGAGTATATACCATTTCAGATATACTTGGAATAAGCATGAAGAAATATTCTCTGTATGTTTGGAATCTTCTAAGAACATGATTAGAATGTTCTATTTAAGATAAACTTAAAGAATGTTCTTAGTCCGTTTTGAGTATTGTTAGAATATGCAGAGTATGACAATTTCCGAAATACTTAAAATAAGTGTGCAGAAATATTTTCTGAATGTTCAGAGGTGTATTTTAAATATTATAAGAGCAATCCACAAAAGCACTTTAAATGTAACACAGTAAGATGACAAAATTGGTTAACACTATACTAAATTCGCCTCCTGTGGTGCTGTCCTGAAAGAAGAAATGTTGAGACAAGTTGAAATACTTACATTGCTTCCCATTTTTTTACACGTTCTGGAGCCTTTGCCAGCCATTGGCCTATTACAAGCTCCACATTCTTCAAAGATATGTCCTTATCACATCTTTGAATACTTTCTAAAAGAAATTTCAATTTAAGTTAAACATTCAGTAAAGTTCTCATACTTACTTGTAATGGCCACGTAAGCTTTCGTAGTTTTAAACACATTTTTCTTTTTGTGTCCATGTAAACTATATGTGGCAGCCACAGAATCATGTAGGGTGAAGTGGGGTAATTGTAATCATGAGGCAAGTGTAATCAGGCGATCTGTATTTTTTTAAATAAATATTTTGAACTTTTATTGTCTAAAATTGGAAAATATCACCCTTTTTATACCCTTATTACTTTTTATCAAGCTCTTTTAGTTCCAGTTTAGAAATATTTACAACATTTTTATTGTGTCTGCATTTATACTCATTTTGAGAGTGTCGTCTACGATTTTTAATTCCCTGTTATTACCGCATATATTACAATATATTTGTGATAGTTTGCTCTCTTAGGTAATTTTTGCCCAGGAATCTGATTCTGCCGTCAGAAATGCATTTCCATTTTGATTTTTTTACCAGCGATTACATTTACCCCACCAAAATGCGCATATGAGGTAAGTGTAATCACGAGACTTGGGTAAATGTAATCACTGATTACATTTGCCCCAGTCTCCACGCCCACATTGACCTTTCAGTTTATACATAACCTCATATTGTCTGTCGAATCTCGCTTATAAGAGCAGTAACCGCAGTGTTTAAACCATTAGTGTAAATACTTACCAAAGACTCAAGACTGTAGTGTTACAGTGTTTCTAGTGAGTTATTTATTCAAAATGGTAAGAGTGTACAAGAAAAAGAAACTAGATCCTTCGTATAGTGCTGAACTTTTAAAAGAGGCGCTTACTAACATCGAACAAAGCGGTCTCAGTATTCGTAGTGCTTCCAAGAGGTATCAAATCCCATTTTCTACTCTGCAAAAACACCTACGAGGAACCCGTGGGTCAAAAACCACCTCCAAAGGAAGACCTACCGCAATACCTTCTGCTGATGAGGAAAAATTAGCCAAAGCTATAAAAACTATGGAGAAGTGGGGCTGGGGGCTGACCCGAAAGGACAAGAGTTAGTGGGAAAGTATGTTAAGAAAAATGAGATAAAAACACCATTTAAAGATGGCATCCCCGGTGAGGACTGGTTCTTATATTTTAAACAAAGGCACAGGCTATCATTAAAAAAGCCACAAGGACTGGAGTATGCTAGGAAAAAAGCCAAAGACCCCGTTTGTCATTGAAGAATATTTTGACATCTTGAAGCAAACCCTGGAAACATACGACCTGCAAAATAAGCCTTGTCAGATTTATGACATCGATGAAACTAGCTTTACGCTTGACCCCAGCAAAACTAAAATTGTTGGACAGAAAAATGCGCCTTCCTCAAGAATAACTACCGGACCAGGAAGAGAAAGTACCACAGTACTCATGGGTGGCAACGCCACTGGTGATAAGTTGCCTCCGTTAATAGTTTTCAAAGGGAAGCATATTTGGGATACCTGGATGGCTCCCGCTGAATACACCTTTCCTGGCACTTCATACGCGGCCTCGCCAAATGGCTGGA